GGTTGGCTGGCCTGGCTGCCGCTTCCATGACGGTCTGTCCTGTGGCTCCCTGTTCAGTGTGGCAACAAAGCAGTGCAAACAAAGCCTGGGAAGGTGTTTGTTTGGTCCTATGTCCCATATGCAGACCTTATTAAGAGGGTAGTGATGGAACAGCTAATAGCCAGTTGCAGAAGAATGACAGCTTCATTTGTTAGCAGTTTATTATTCTGCACTTATTTCCCTCTGCTGCCTTTTCTGTGCCTTCCCGTAGTGATGTGGGTGGGTCTGCATTGCAGTGCCAATGATGTGAATGGACCAGCTAGCAGAGGATGCTGCAGAGCCAGGTGTACCGCACAGAGCTCCCCCTCTCCAGCCTCTGCTGGAAGAAATCAAAAAGTCCAATGTCCAGTTGTCCTGGAAAGCAGAGGCTGGGCTGGAGTTCCCATTAGCCAATCATAGTGATTTTAATTCCTCTCACAGAAAGTTTGTTTTAAAAATAACATTTTTTTTATTTACCATCTCAAAGAGGTCAATCACACCTAGAGCGTTTGTGATGTGAGAAGTGATGTTACCTGCTCAATCTTTTTTAGCAGCTCAGGTGGAGATGGGTCCTTCCCTCCCAAGTCTCGCTTTCTACTATCATTTGTGGAGTCAGCAAAACTCTCCTCCATCCGTTTAATCCTGTCCTTGCACTGGGAATACTAGCAAACAAAAAGTCATAACGGTTATTTTTTCAGACAAGAAGCCAAAAGCCTCACTATTACTACGTGATCAGAGATGGAAGGTCTGAGTGTGTCAGTTTTACATCAGGAGAACCGCACTAAAGCGGCTGGGGTGGCTGCACTGCCAACACCTGGGCTTGGAAGCAGGACTCCAGCCTTGCTGGAAGGTGTTGGGGATGCTTGGGCGGTGTAGGAAGAAGCAAAACAGCATTGGTCAAACACTGGGAAACATTTCCCTGCGAAACCAGAGGTGGACGTAGGTCGTTCTCCTGTCCTATTGAACAGGAATTTGGAACGCAGTAGATCGTGTCGCAGAAAGTCATCTCTATAATGCACAAATACAAATCAGCTTCATCTTATTAATGGTTTAAGTGTCTTGAGCGCTTGTCTTGACTCCTTCTCCACGTGCAACGCAACAACCTGAAATTGTATCTAAATAATGCAGCTGCACAGAAGAGGCGGCTTCTCTGAGCCACACATATCACGACAAGAGCCCTGGACTAGAAGATGATTTTTACCTTCTGAACGTGTTTGGGAAGTTAGAAGAAGGCTGCCCCAGGGGCTGATAGCTTCTTCAGCTTCTGCTGGTGGCCTGGATGAAAGCTGCAGATGGTCTGTACCGAATCACGCCCTTTGGGCCATAGCGGGATGGGCTCGGGGCCACCCTCTAAGGCCACTGTGAGCAGGGGAGGGACAGAGCGCAGCCGGTGGGGCTGGGCAGCGAGCTGAGACCCACCGCAGCTACGACTCCGTCCTGCGGAGGGAGAGGAGCACCAGGAAGGGCGGAGGTGGCTGCGCAGGGGCGGTGGTGGGCACCTGCAGCTCACGAGGGACTCGCCATTTGAGCACGTCCCTGCAGATTTTCTCAATGCTAACAGACAAGATTTCCTTGTGCTGGGGGTAAGGAGGTTAATACAAAGGATTACAAACCATTTTTCTTTTTTTTTTGAAGAGAAGGAGAAACAGTGTGACAGTTGCATGATAGAAGCAAACCCTGCTGTCTGCCAGAAGTGGAGTCCCACCTGCTGCTTTGTCCTGAGACAAGGACTTTTATCCTCAGGAATGCACAAAACATTGAGATGGGCGGGGGGTGGGGTGGGGTGGTCTTCCTCTATTCCCTGCAATCTTCTGTTTAACCCACAGGATCCATTTAGGGGTGTAAGAAGGATACAAGTGCCTGACAGTTTGGTTGCAAGTCAAATCTGAAAGTCCCGCTTCCCCACTGGTTGGCGCTAAAAGTATCATCATCCCTACAGGCATCCAGGTTTTGTACATTACAGTTCTCAGGCACGTGTCCAGAAGTGACTCAGTGGTGACCCTGAGTGACGTGGTACTCCCAGGACCCCGCAAGGCAGGTGTTCCCTGACCTTTCTGATGCGAGACCTTCCCAGGGAATAACGCTTCCCAGAACACGCTAGATGGACATCCACGCTTCGCATAAATACTGGCTAAAGAAGTAACGGGGACCATTTCTTCCTGTTTGGACTTGCAAGAGTGACAGTGGTGGGGTTTTGTGCTTTGACATGCACCTGGGCATCTGTCAGCACGTTGTCACACCGTCCTTGATCGATTAGCTCTAACATAACATGACCCAAGGAAGCTGGTACAAATGCTAACCGCTGGTCGCAGGCGATGATGATATTAAGGAAAGAAGTGGTCACCGGCTCTGAAAGTTATGAGCAGTCAGCAAAAAGACAACGTAAATGTTTAGATGTTGCTACCGGGATGGGGCTTGTTCACTGGACAAGTCATATTTAACTGGAAAAGGGAAAACTGACAGATCTGCTCGGATGACTACAGAACATTACCAGAACACTTGTCTTAAACGCTTCTTTTTCTGGTAAAAGCGGCATCATGCAGCTCGCTCTTTCACACTTTTACTGAGAGCAGGCGAAGTGAAAACCTTAAATAACTGTAATGAACAATCACGGTTTGGTTTAAAATGAATGCCGTTCATTGTGCAACTAGGTACTGAAAGATTTAGTTTAATTACAGACAACTAAAACTCAAGACTAATAATATACAGAGTGGAAGACTGTAAGAGCAGGACCAGCACAAACAACAGGATGCAGGTATACTTTCAATGGTGTTTCGTATCTGGGGCCAAATTTCTCAACCACTAACTGAGCTGAAAATTCCTTGCTGGAGCAGTGGTACCTTAATGAGATTAGGGACAGCTCACCAAGTAAAGTTGTGCAAGATTGACTATTTGATTTAGAGAAGAAGGACTATTGCAGCAAAAGACCTGTCCAAACCATAAAAAAAAAATCCATAAAAAGTTTCATGTTAAACTTAAATACTAGACTTACTTTTAAATGCAGTATGAATTGGGGGTGATGAGAGGCAGGCTAATCCAAAAGCATGGGAAACAACGCACATTTAGCAAAACCCACACTATTCTGTGTTTGCTTAAGTGATGTGACTATAGGCATCTTTATTTTCTCCTCATTTGTAGTTTTTTCCTTGGACAAGACTTTATATGAGTTCTGAGAGATTCTAAGTCTTAAACCCAAAAAATAATCCCTTCTTCTTGGAGTGGATTTGATACAGAGGATAGGAAAATGCTCTACAAGGGAGGCTTCTCTACGTTTGCTTGTAATCAGTCAGGAGGAATCGCTGAAGGATGAATAGATGAGAGGGAATACATACCTAAATAAAGGGACTGGTCTGAAAAGTGGAGATCTGGTGTTTATTTTGGAAATCTCAGAGAAGGTAGGTGAGGTATGCAGACCACTAGAAAAGGGCAAATATCATACTTATTTTTAAAAATGGGGGGGAAGGAGCTATGGAACTATAGATAACTTCACTTTCTGAAGAATAAATCTGGAACAAAACATTAAGCTTTCTTTGTAGGTAGCTAGAAAAGAAAAAGGGTAGGAATAACAGTCAAAGCAGGTGTGTTGAGCCACACCAAACCAGACCAATCTCCTACTATGATAATTTAACAGCTATGTGGATGACAAATGTTAGGTATCGTACATCTTGATTTTTACAGAGCTTCGCTATTGTTTCATATGACATTCCCATAAACAAGCTAAGGAAATGGGTTCTTGATGAAAATGTAAGGTAAGAACTACATAAGTAGAATGAGGTTAAGTTTAGAGAGACTGCAAATACTTTCTGTAGGAGAAGATTGAAATTCAGTTACCTTGGTCTGAAAAAAGGTCAGAACAAAAGAGGTAATGTTAAATAACAAATGCAAGGTGCCACTTGTAGGCAGGAAAAATTATCTGTACAAATACAGAATCAAGGTCAACTGATTAGATAATTTTTCTTTAAAACCGGGTCTGGTTGTTACATACATTTACATGAAGAGGAATCAATATGTCATGTTGCAGGAAAGGCTGCCATTGCACCAGGACACACAAGAGGAATGTAACCTGCCAGATGCCTGAATGAATCCTTTCACCCTGAGCCACTGATACTGGGCACTGCACCTTAAGAAAATGAAAGAGATGCAAAACAGCCCTGTAAGAGCTGATTAAAAGAAGCAGGGTTGCGTAGCCTAGCAAAAGAATGGGAGAGGAACGTGATTAACTTTCTTCCAGCAACATGAAATGCAGCAGGGAAGAAGAGAATGATCCCTTGGTCATGTCCCTGGTGGACAGAATACAAATCAATATTCTCATGCTGCAGCAAGAAAGATCCAGTCTAATGCTTAAGAAAATATTTCTGCTGTTAAGGAATGACTGGGATAGCTTGCTGGGGAAACTGGGGTTTCCCAGTGGTGGCTTGAAAGCACAGCTTAGCCCTCTCAGCCATGACAGGCAATCCAATGCTGTAGTAGGAGCAGGATTGCCTAGATAAACTCGTTACCTCTCTAGCACCATTTTTCTATGACTGTGATGGTGTAGTCTGCAGATTTTCATGGAGTTGTATTAAAACCTGGACAAATGCCTCACACTGTGGGTCTCTGTACATTAGCTGAACTCCGAGGCATGAAAGTCCCATCTACAGCATCTTGGCAGCTCAGCAGGTCTACATGTTGGACTAAGTCATCATTAATGCTAAGCACCTCCCGTTGATGCCTGAAGGCTGGTTAGTTTTCGTGGGTCATTTCAGTCAGTGGGAACAGTCGCTTGATGTGCAGTCCCAGGTAAAAGTTACACAGCTTTATGCCCAGAGAAAACCACCTTAGACTCTCACCAGGTATTTTTTGTGTCAGACAAAGGAAATATCTGTAAATATTTCTATTTTTAATGCTTTACACTGATTGTAACAAAACTACCTAGGCTGCATTACCAGCACTTGCTTAGAAGGTGTCTGGTATTACTCAGGACAACGGTATTTTCCTGTTCACCAATGTCTTGCGCTTCTGTGGAGATGTGCAGATTCTGATGAACAGTGTGTGAGTGGAACATACATCTGTGTGATGATTAAGCAGCTCATCTGGAGTAAAGGAGACCTAGGTGAAATTTTTATTATTGCTGAATTGACACACAGCCTGACCTGTGCTTTTCCCCTTCCCAGTGGGTACCACGGCCACCGAGACAGGGGGTCAGTTTCTGCAGCCTGTTGAATACATCTTTTTTTTTTCATACTGCCTCCGTTCATCATGTAAATCTATAATGGTACTGTAAAGTTCTTTGGGGTATGATTTGCATAAGGTATTCTACAACATCTATTCTTTTAGCAGAGCACACAATTTCTTTAGAAGGCCAGAAGTAACAGAACAGTGCAAGCACTATTTAACAGTTAGTCACAGCTCCCATCGATGCAATTATGAAAGGCAATGGTACACCCTAATTTAGGATTTTGTGCAGGCACTAACAGAGTATGTATGGAAAAAATTACCATCTGGAGATAAGGTCAAAAGTAAATGAGCCATTTCAGAAAGCAAGGAAAGAATGTCCCGAACACTGCAGTTTGTTAAGTTGTTTAATGTCAGTTTGTAACAAGAACTAAAACTTACACTGTTTTTGTGTAGAAGAAAATATATGTGGATTATATCATTGTAGGCAGCAGAGTTTCCAGAGTAGGTTCAGGGTCAAGTGTGAATTGAGTTATTATTTTAGAAATTTGAAGAGCTGAGTATGTCTCCCACCCCTCCACCTACCCCCATCAATACAGTTCTAACAAATTTTATCTACATTCCCATTTTTTCCCTATGACTCTCATTCTCCAGCTTAGTCATACTGACATTTCAGGCTATGGGGAGGCTTAGCTGAGATTCCGTACCCAGGAAGCGTTTGGCATGTGCATAATAAAGTGTATCAGCCAGTTACACATAAGCGTAGCAACTCTGAAGTTAAAAACATGCATCGGTGCTTTGCTAGACAGGTGCATTACTGAACTTTCTGTTTCAATAAATCTTGTACATCCAGACATTTTTTCCATGAAATTACACTAAATGTTAAAATACAGATTAATACAAACAAACAAAAAAAGGCTCTTTCCCACCCACCTGTGTCTGAAGTACCACCAGATGTGCGTCCAGGGCATTCTTCACTGGGAGTGCTCTGAAACACAATTTAATCTGTCTCTTTTTCTCAGCCACCTCTAGCTTCAGAAATCTGATCTTTTCATCCATAACTTGCATCTCAATATCTCCATTTCTACACAACATCTCTTGCATGTTTATTTTTTCATATAAAATGCATAGTTCTTCTTCTCGATCTCTGAGCAGAAGACCACTGCAATAAGCCCAAAATGAAAAGGCAAAATTAAAAAAAAAAATTACTCACATTCAGTCTATTCCATTCAAGAACCTAACTGACAACCCTGAAAGATAGTAGTAATCTGGGAAAACGTAGAAAGGTTTCACAAACATTATTTTAGTATCATGAAAACATTTTAAATAGGTAACAAAATAATTACAATGCGAAAATCAGAGAACAAACAATTGCAAAAGTCTATCTAGTCTCTCATGTAATTAATTTTGTAAGTTCTGCTGACCTTCCACAGCATTCATTTAAAAATGGATTAACGTCATCAGGGAGCTTTTCATCTTTGCGTTTCTACACCTTGTCTGCGCACAAAGCACAAATGCAGCGGGAGGCTACAAGCTGTCAAGGCATTCAGTAGCCAAGCCACCATATTTTTTTAATAATAGTTCTGCAGAATGAACATCTTCACCCGTGCAGAAAAAAAAAGTCTGTATAAAGCAAAGCAGCATTGACATTGCAGTGAGGCAGACTGTTTAGTGAAACACTGTAGTGAGACAGTCTTTTAGTATTCCTAACTTGGAGTGCTCATAAGTTGAGAAATATTGTTGATTCATGAATGTCAAAATTAAACACTGCGTTACAGATCAAATTTACATGTATACCTCTCATTGTGTTGCTGAAGATCCCTTTCATATTTTTTGCGTAGCTGCACAGTTTCCTCCTCAATGCAGGTGACTGTATCGGTAAGTGTCTCAAGATCCAGACACTGTTGCTTCTTCTTTTCTTTCATCTCATGCATCATTTTCACAATTTTGCAATAATCACTTTTGAGACTGTCTGTAATCGCAACATTATTTGTATTCTTCAGACGTTGGTTCTGCAATTTTCTTTAACATGACAGAAAAGTAGGAGAGCTTTTAGTCCTTTCAATTTGAAAGCAATTTCAGCAACTAAAAGCAGAGCTTAAACTAATTCATCAAATACACAAAGGATCTGCTATGTCACAGAAGCATTACAAGAAATAGAAAGACTCTGAGAACAGCTTTTCTCTGCAGTTCTTTGTAGCTTGAAGAGAACTGGATTATGGCCCCCAAAAATGCTACAAACAGAGCATTGCACTACAGCTCATTTGTTCCTCACTGGGTAGCCCAAGGGGACATAAGAAATAAAGCTCAAGAGCAGATGCATAAACTGTGATGCAAAGTCTTAACGTGTAGAAATCCTGTCCTTCTATTGAAAGAGCGGTATATAAATAATTTTGTGGTTGCGATTCAAAGGTCTCTAAGTTTATTGTTTATAAAACTGTATCACAACATTCACACAAGAAAGAAAATTCTGTTTCCCCATTTGACAGATGAGAAGAAAAATCACAATGAAAAGTTAGTGACAAGATCACATTATAGACCCGCAAAAATGAAGAACAGAACTGATTATTCCCAGCAACCTTGGTGGCCATTAGATGATGGTCCTTCACTTGAAAAACAGAGTCTTGTTGCCACATGGATAATTCGTTTGCTTACGACATGGAACTTAGAGTTACCACATTTGATAGTGGTAAGCATCACTTCTTGATCAAGTACCACTGCTTTATCAACACTGGGGAGATATTCATGTGAACACACAGAACAGGTAGTGCAAGGAAAAGCATAGTCTCCTGTTAAAATACAGAACTGCAGATGAAATATCCTGCCTCCCCTCATGGGTTCCATCATTACGTTGCTGAGGTGCTCTGTACGGAGCAGTGAGCTACCTTCTGCTTCATTTTCCCCATGTGTGTTACATTTTCCAGTTCCACAGGGTGTTACTGGATTGAAGTAAAGTTCCATTCCTGAAGAAACTTTCTCTTATTTGGACTGACACTCTGTCTGTCCTCCAAATCGTGTAGGTTGCAGTTCAGAGATACTATGACAGTAATGTCTGATACTAAAAATATTTCCCATAGGCAAGAGAATTAGTGGTCATTCAGTACCTCTTCAGACTAGGTTTGCAGAGATCAAAATGTCTCTGGGATCTGTACTAGAGTGGGGTCATCTATAATAATAAGGTATTTCTGGTATCCAGACTATATATATATCCATATATATATATCTATATATATCTATCTGCCTTCTTAGCCTTGTTTTCCCCTCCTTTCACCAGTGATTAATTGGGAAGGCCTCAAAAATTTTAGCACAAAATGTCAACTTGTGAATCCTGACAAAATCACTTAAATCACTGAAGCTCCACTTCTTTTCTAGCTACCTCCAACATGACTTTGAAATCAAGCTACTCGGAGACTCACAATATACTTTGAGTGAATGTATCCTGAATGGCTTCTTTGCATTCTGGTTGTGCAATTTTTTTGGCACTGGAAGACAAAGTTTTGGGAAATTTAATGATTTTTATACTACTCAATTTTGCCTGTGCTGTTTTGCATACACAGTTAACTATTTACTAGCTTCCCGCTTTCCCAGCTACTGATTTCAGAGACATTGTCGTTCTGTCTATGTTGCAGAATATCATCACTAGGATGACAAAAAGATGGCAAAAAGACATCTCCACTAAATGATAGTCTAGGAAAAAAGAGTCACATGCACCTCCTGTTCCGCTGCATCCTCTTTGTTGGGAATGTACCCTTTCATTTTGACTAGGATTGCCTGGAAACTGAAACCATGTTTTGCTTGATCTGAAATAAACATTATCCAATAAACTTCAGTTTGAGCTTAAACCAAGAAACCCAGTTTGTTCTAATTTAATAATTAGACCGCTACATTACAAGCTAGTGACTCATTTAATAATACCATGCACCAGGCTATTGTGGAATCATGTATGGATTTGACCTCCTTTTGTCTAAGGATAAGCAACTATGAGTCCAACAGTGTTGTTCATATTGGATGAAATAACATGATAATTCAGATACAAAGGAAATGCAATGACAGTTTATCCCTTCAAAGGACAGGAAAGTAAGAGAGTAGCCAGACAAACTTCAAAAATGCTTCGTGCCATGCAGTGCTGCCCAAGCTAATTGTGAAGTGTTAGGGTGACAAGAAATTGGAACAGATTATGGAAAGTTGTTGCTAAATGTCTTTGAACAAGGTTTTACAAATCAGGATAATAACTATCAAGGATGATATAGGCATAGCTGAAGATGGATTAGATTATCTGTTAAGATTCTTTCTAGTCTTACATTTCTATAATTGTGATCTACAGCTTACTTAAAACTCACCTTTCCTTGGTTAGAACAGTATTCCTTAAATTTTTTATTTCATTTCCTAGCAATTTTACCCGGTTTTTGATTTCACTTGCTTTCTGCTGAGCAGCATGCACCAAATTTACATGTTTATTCCTTTCATTTTGGATAACATCATACATTTTAGCAAATCCTTGGAGTCTGAAGAAATGACAAGTGTGAAAGAAATAATTATTGTAATTTTATGCATACATCACTTGGGTAAAAATTGCTTTTAAAGCCATTTTTTTTAGCTAATGTATTGTTGTTAACATTTTCTTACTGTTTTTGAATTTCTCTTTTCCTCTTTTTATACTCTCTTATTTCAAGATCTTTTCTTTTCATTTCTTTAATAATATTTTTGAGTTGTATCTGAAATTTAAATAGTATTCAGTAAGCACTTTAGATATATCAAAGAAATATCTTCAAAGAAATTACTCAGAACAGCTGTTCCTCTTAGACGAGGAAAAGGCAGCGAGGTGAGATTATTCTAAGAACTTACTCTAATTATAATGACACGCTTTTACTGTAACAGCATTAAAGAACACAGTTTTTCTATGTATATTAGCTTGAAACGAGTGTTATTAATGTAGATAATTTGATGCTGCATCTTAAAATGCTTGGTCCCTACTGTTCTACTGTTTCTATTAATCAGGCTCTTGGTTCCACCACAATATAACTTTTTGGCACACGCGCCACTGAAATTGTACCTTTTCAAATACTCTTTTCTGGCTTTTAAGCAATCACTTATGATTGAGTAGAATGGTACATTTACATTCTGTTATGGCTCTGGACTTTTTGTTTTCAGTTGTGTTCAGTTTTTCAAACCCCGTGTCATTAAGCTTCAATGGACAGGCCTTTTCTCACCTCCCACTGGTACCAGGAGGAGGAGGTTAGTATTAAAAAAAGGTGGTGCATGCTGGGTTGCAACTCTGGGCATGTGCATGTGTTCATTACTTTGCATAGTTTTTTTTTTTTTTAGTGGTTTATGGACTGATTTTTACTGAAGGTGCAAAGCTTACCGTGTTTGTGTGCTCTATTTTTACAGACAGTCAAAGATTCCCAGAGTGCTAGAAGGGTAGCTTATCTAATTTATTTGAATACAGACATACATTGTGGAAACATAAATTTGTTCCCACATACAAACCTGGTAGTTAGGACAAACTGTGCAACGTCACAGCACATATATGATATTATAATGCCAGCAAACTGCAGGCAGCAAACCCAATAACCTGTCCTAGTTTCTGTGACAGTAGGCCAAGCTTTCTTTCCATCTTTCTTCACATTAATATAACAATTTACACCTGGAAATGTGTCAAGAAAATAAAAATTCTGCCTCTCCTTGGAATGAGTAAAAGTTCTGTTTATCTTTTAGTGTCCATATATTTGTAAAATAAAACACAGTTGTACTTCTGAGATCTCAGTTGAAGCTGTCTGCTTTTCTGCCTCTTTATTCCATAGGCTTGAAAGAAAATGTCCTTTCAAATACCTTATTTCAATTGTGGCATGACATTTTAATACACTATTGCACTGCACCATAAATTGCCAATAAAACAACACAGTATTGTGAGCTTCCTGTGTTGTGATGGAACTTCAAAGTGAAGTGGGAAACAAGAGTCTATAAGGCTCTCCTCATTAATGATTTAATTTCTCCATATACCAGCTTTCACTTTATAAGTTATCCAATAATATGAGATAATTTTTTACCTGGGCTTTCTGAACATCCCTAGATTTCTGTTCCCTCTCTTCAACTTTGAGCCAAGTCAGACGTGCAAGTCTGGATAACTCATCTCTGTATTTTTCCTGCTCTTTGAAAAGCTGGCCTTCTTCAGCAATACATTTTTGTAACATGTGGGCATCCATATCTGACATCATTTCCTAAAGAAAATTAAATTCAATTCCTTATGCATCGATGCATCAGTGTTGGCAAACCCACAGTCAGAAATACTTTGAGTTTCTCTGCAAAGTACACATAGGTACAGACTACATCGATTTAAAAAAAATAAACTATTGCTTTAAAATGCCAGCTGAAACACCAGGCAGCATCCTTATAATAACATGTCAAAATATTTTATCACCTAGAAGCACTTCTGTTCCTCAATCTAGCATGTCTTTCAGCTATTTCCCGTTGGGGAGAATGGTTCCTTATGGCCATATGATCTTCAAATAAGCTCACATGTCCATACTACACAATGGATGACACTGAGCTTTCACATTAAGAGACCAAATTTAGACATCTGAAATAGAGCTAAGTATCTAGATGCCAAGAGTTGCTGGAGATTCAGTCAATACAGCCAGTGAACTCTAAGGAGCTATTTGTTTTACCCAGTGTAGGCCAACCTCTTTAGGGGGAGGTGAATGGATGGCTTCCTGGGCTCCGCTGACTACATGACTAGATTGTTGTTGACTATGGTGGCACATTAGATTTATATCTCATACACAATAGTGACATGTAGATACCAAACGTATACGTATTCAAACACAAGCTGAATCCCACCTGATGATGCTAACAAATTCAAAGGCAGCACAAAAAGAAAATGGATATAAGGGAAAGAAGATAAGGAGGTGTGATCTTAAGACAGTATGCCCGAAATACATTGTGTCTTATAAAGTCCTTTATATAGTGGCAACTACTAATACTTTCATAATCAAAACATCTGCATTTCCAGACTACATACAGCTCTGCTGATTATTGACAGACATCTGCAAACGACAAAAGTCTGAAGATGAAAAATGATAACGTTAAAAATGCTGAATTGTCCTTCTTTCAACAAGACAGTGTGCCATATCCAAATCATATTTCTACTTGTAATGTCATTAACAATATTCAGAATGACTTAGCCTAGAAAGTAGATTTGCTTTCTGCCTTCCAGTATGTGACCAGTAACACCTAAAAAAATTTTTTTAAATATGACAAACAAGTTGTCTTTAAAATTGAACAAATACTATTGCATGTTTTCTCACCAGAAAGTGCAGCTAGAAACTCCCATATTTTTTCTTCAAACAATCCCTTTATTCTCATGATTAAACCCAAACTGTTACAGTGAAAAAGCATGAGAAAGCAGAACTCAGCACCTGTTCAGCTAAACTTCTCTTGGTCATTTCAATTTCCTTCTGCAGTTCTCGTCGTCTTTCTAATAATACTCTGTTACTTTTAGGGATAGCTTCTGCCTACAAAAATAAACCAAGCACACTGAGTGATGTAAACAAAATACGTGAATAATGTAAACTGCAGATAACCTATTTGAATTAGTTACACAAATTAAGAAATTAATTTTCTGTCTCGTGAAAATAGCTAGTCCAAGAGTTCTTCATTGAGTAGAGTTCCTCAGCAACATATCCAAGTTTCTCAAATTTTTCTTTTAAGAATTTAACTATAAGCACTAAACTATAAGCCCAGTTTAAGTATTGAATTTATAAGGATTATGTTTTTCAGAACCAAACTGTCACTAAAAAGCAAATATTCAGAGGATTTTCTGAGTGAAATTCTGAACTTACTAAAGGAAAAAAATAGATCTACCACCGATTTTAATATCGTCAGTAATTCATTTCTGTGTAGATTTGATACATTTTTTGCTTTTTTTTATTAAAGTAGGATTTTCCTGTTTCCTCCATAGACCCTGAAAGTCAAAACTATCAACATAAACAGTTATGTACTATTTTTCTTGTACATTATGGGAAAATGTGTTTATTTTAAAATGAGGTGTGTGAAGGAAGACACACTAGAAACTACCTTCTGACTAAAATATATCTGAGCAATCCCGCTACATACTACTTGCATGATATAACTTGTAAGGTGAAAGGTTGTATTTGCCTCACAGTAATACTTCACTTAAAAATTCTTTACGGTTATAAGTAAGAAATAAGTACAGCAGGCTAACTATGCAGGCATATGTGGCCTGTCCGTAATTGCAAATCTGTCATTCATACAGGTGGGAAGAACATGACACCGAATGACACATCTGGAAGCTATTCAAAGGTAATACATGCAACCCGATGGTGTCTTTCTCAGATCTCAACCAGATGTTAGAGTTCAAAACACTATACCTCAATACAGATCATGAGATGCCTTGCACTTATGGTTGTCGCTTTATGATAATACTATAAAAGCAGATGATGTTCACCTGCAAGGGAAAGGGAAACAAGAAGCACAGTAAGGGTCGAACTGTGGAGTTACTTTGGTTTTAGCTGCCAACTCTGAATTTGACTAGACTTAGGTTTGCTAAAAGGTCAATAGAACCTATTCCAAGCAAGTTACTTTCACTCCTGTGGAGGGAGCAAACACGGCTTTTCTGTGGAGCATATATTAGTCACCACTTCTGCTGTGTAAAAGGCTGCAGTGTCTGTAAGTAGGCATTTCCACATTTTCAAGACGGGATTCTAAAGATGCCATCAAGTTATTGAGTCTAAAAGTAGAAAGCTCATATAAACATCTTTAATCCATTAAGGACTTTTGTTCACATAAGACGTGACTAAACTTAGGCACTTTTGGCTGTCTCTGCGTTGGCCTGACTGAAGAGAAGGCGTGCATGGCAAGGAAGAGCAGTTCTGCTCTGGGCTGGCAACAGCTGGAAAGGCCAATTCTCTTTCACACAGAATGTTGGTGTTTAGCAATATCTGACCTTTCACAACTTACTAAGAAGAAAAACACATTTGAAGGAAGTGTTCCTGTAATTTCCTTATTCTACAAACCAGTCACTCTGCACTGAGCATGTGATTTAATGTAAAGAAATTTGGGGAAGCACACTGATGTACTGCTGCTTCTGCAATCACATTTTTATACTAGCAATTAATTCTTGTGAATTTTTCACTTGGAATCACAACGAATAAATGTAAATCTGGCTTTTTAAGCAGTTAAAGGAACTTCAACTACTTCAAATATTTTAACTTTTCCTAGGTGTGCTCCCAAGTCTTCCAAATTAAAATAGTCTCAAGATAGCAAAAGCCAAGCAGAATCAAGCTTGCCACTCTAGTCTTTCGTACTCCAGTACTGCATTTGAACTGACCATGCTGTAGGGGAACGGTGATTTCACATTTGCTTTTCTAAAAGAGCCAAGAAAGGAATCGGGGAAAACACAGAGCATGGGAGGATGGGCTGAAACATCTATATTGCCATGGCCTGTTCGCATCAGGGTAGCATCTTGCAACTTTCTGGAGTAAAATACTGCTCAGCATTCTACTTCTACCTTTACTGCCATTTCCTTTCCCCCGCTCCTCATGCTGATGCTACTTGCAAGATGCATACAAGCCTACAGGAGAACCTGGCATTAGCACTGCGGGAATCCTTTGCAATGCAACTTAACCTTTAAGGGTCTCATTACAGGTCTCGCCCTTTCACAGTGTGAAGGGTTGGGTTGGGTTGGGTTTGGATCTCACCCAGGACTGTGAATTCTAACCACAGCCGTCAGTGAGTTACAGCATTTGATTTTAGTATTACATGATTTTGAACAATTGTGGTCCTCCCTCTCTGAATATTTCTTCAACAAGAACACAGGAAAAAATACCATTTCACAGATTCTTTTAGCTGATACTTGACAGAAACTCAGTATGAGCTTTAAGATCAAAGTCTGGAATATGAGTCAGCCCTTTAATCAATATTTCAGAAAATTCAGTCTAAAACTTTTTTGTGTAGTTATAGAGCTTTCCTCCCTCCTCCCAGGTGGGCTTATATTACTGGTAATTAATACACATGTGAATTCGGGAGGAATTTCAGTGGAGAGAGAAAAAATTTCTTCTTATTTAATAATATTAAATATTATTGAGTAATGTTTAGAGTTGTTTAAATAGCAAGGCTAAGCATGTATGAGTTTTGATATCATATAGTTATTTTAAAAAACTTTACAGTAACGTACATAAAACTTTTTTCTGTCCTGCATTCCTTAGAAGGACCAAGAAAAAATTCAAGGACACTGTGTCAAGGTAGGAAACATCAAGTCCTACGAAAAAATATCCACCTGGCTAAGCAAGATTAATTTTATAAGACTGACTTAAAATTTACACTAAGCAAGGAGCTAGTATAGGAGAAAAGTTTAAGAAAGAGAATGGAAGAACCAGTGATGAGAGGAAGATAATACAAAAAAAGTTGCAGACAAAGTAAATTTTTAAAAGAGAATTGGAAGGAGAAAAGAAAGGAAATGCTTTGAATAGACAAGCAGAATGAGACTGACCTTTAAAATCAGCATAGTAAAAGGCACAAATAAAACAGAAAAATCAGTATGGGAAGAGGAATGAGTGAAATACTAATGCAGGGAGGAAACGAGGAAGGTTAAATTTGAGTGGGAATAAAGAGAACATTATTTAACATTATTTAATACCAAACTTTATATAGTGCTAGTTTGCTGTTCCCTGGAATAATGTTAAATACATTATAAATTATTTACAGTAATGTAGAAACAACCTTCAATTTTAAAAAATATGTATATTTTCATCATTTGGGAGCCAGAGAGTACTTGGCTCTATTTTTCTGATACAAATTTCTTTGATGGCAATAGGCAAGTGACTATATTATTTCACTCATAAATTATCACAATTCCGCAGTGCTTTAAAGGAAGACATGACACCACGGTGCCAATGTAATCTTCTGGTTCTCCTTGATAGGATGTTCCCACCTAAAATCCATTTCTTAAGAATAGTTCAAATATATCTTGATGGAGTGTTTTTATTACAGGCAGAGCATCTAGAGGTTTGGTAGTTGTAGCAGCACTCTTGACACTTTTATATGCATAAGACTTAAAACAGTCTTCTCCCCTTCCCCCTTTTAGGACCAGTCAAAAGATTTCATAGACGGATTTCTTACAAGAAAATTTAGAAACCTTATGATCAATGCATTCATACAGACCTCTAACTTGAGTCTTCTATGCTGTGACTTATCTTGTTCCAAGGAATCAGAAATCATACTCAGTTGTAACTGCATCTTTTTTAAATTTCTCAGTTCTCTATCTTTCTGTGTTTGATTGTGAATGAGAATATCATGTTGCTTTTATTTCTCCAAGACACATTTATTTAAACTCTCTTCCAGAGCTTCTCTATATAGACACAGAATGTCAGAAAGAGGTAACTTGACCAAGACACATGTGCAAACATACATGATTATTTTAATGGGTTTTGAGTACTTCATCATTATGGCTGAGCAGCAAGATAAACTCATAAACTACTTTCACAAATTACCTGAAAAGTGAGCAATTTTATAACTTTAATCAATTATGGTATTTCTGATGATGTAAATGAGATCTCACAGTCTGTTCTAAACATGCTAAAAATTCCAGAGAAACTATTACTTATAAGAAGAGGAAAACACGTTTTAGTAGGAGAGAATATTTACATGTTCATTTCCCTTAACTATTTCAATTTAAAGTGCCACTATCCTTTAACACAAAACTTTAAAGGGAAAAAGCATTGCTGCTGAGCATATGGCCATGGTTACAACTACGCATCTTCCTCTGCAAAGAAGGAATCATTTGAAGCTTGCAATCAACCTAATAGTTTTTTTTACTTTACCAAGTATATGTAAATCATAATTCAAGGGAATATTAAAGAGGAGCAAAATCCAGTTTCATTCTCCCAGGATTTTATCAAATGCTCTGCTTTCTGATGTTGTTCTCCGAGACAGATCCTAGATTCCAGTAATTTATATAAACAATTCTGAAGTAAAAAAACTAGCCTGATAATTTCTAGTTCAGCCCAGTTGCAGCATAGAACTTGAAAACATAAGCAATACAGCAGAAAAAAAGAAATAGATCTTTGAGAACAGAGAATTGTTCACTCATACTACATGGCTTATGTCTACTACTCTAACCTGTCTGATAGGATCGCTGATTCCTTCTCTCTGCTAATTCGTAGTAATTTTGTCAAAGTAATGCATTCTTGTTCTTTGCTTTCCAGCAAAATTTGTTTCTCATCCAGTTCCTTCATTACATCTTCTTTTTCTTGCAAAATCTCTTCAGTCCTTTTTTCAATGGCTTCCAAGGTACCATTCAACTCTTTTATTTGGTCATTAAGGGCTTCTTTCTTCTTCTCTGTATCACTGTGGATATATTTTAACAAAACTGTAGGGGTTAACATTTCCACACACATATTTAAATGGCAAAATGCAAGTCACCAGTTTTCATGGACACACAAAATCATTTCAACATCACAACTATCTACATGAAATGTTTGAAAGCAGACTGCATACAGTGAAAATCTTCAAATGCCAATACAGTTTAACAATAAAATTGCAGATAGCCATGGGACTAACAGGGAGTTTAGCACCATGATAGCGTTAAGGAGAGTTCTGCTAAACTGGTTTCTGTCAACGTTACTAGGTACGCGGGTGTGACACTTCTAAATATTATTTCCAAGACTGTGAACTCTGGTTAGTCCATTCTGTGACATGACACAAGTGCAAAGAATCATTTAAACACTTCATTAATAGCAATCTACACAATGTATTGGTTGGTTTTTTTAAAATTGCTTCTCTATAACACTATAGGAAAAACTTCTTATGTTTGTGATGGTAGAGTTGCATTAAGCAGAGTAGCGAGGAAAATGTGGAAGAAAAACCATTATACAAGTTTTAAAACTGAGAAATTTAACATAGTCAAACAATTTCTATATTACAAATGGGCAGGACACACAAAAACTGCAGTGTAACCCTGTGCCTGAATGGGGTAAAAAACCCATTGTTCACAGGGATGGCAACTGGACTGTTAGGGTCTGTGATTGACCTGGCTGAAACTGCACAGTGCTAATTAGATTTTACACATACAGAAAGCAGCACATGTCATGCTGCTGGGGAGAAAAAACCCAGCTACACAAGAGAAAGAAAAGGCTGGCTACTGGCTTACATTTTCCGTGTTGAAATATTAGAGACCAGAATTCACATCAGGAGCTTACAGCAAAGCACCTCTGACTAAAAAACTGGTACAGAAGTATCAAGGGAGAATGATTATCAGCTCAGGCCAGACTGTTAGCTGTGAAAGCTGCTAGTTTCACTGAGGCCAATAGAGATAAGATAATATACAGTCACTTTTTTGTAAAAAAGCCTAATTGCTAGATTACATGGTAACATTATTTTCCCTTTAAAATCTACTAAGTAGACCTGATATACAGTAACACAGCACACAGTAAGATGGTTTAGCAAATTTTGGCCAAGCTTCGTTCTAAATTTTTCTTCGTTGTACTTAAATTTATGTTTCACTCAATACACTATTTTTCAGTACAGTAAGTGGATTTTAAGTGGATTATAGATCCTTTTTCAAAAGTTGATCCTAATTTTAACCAACAGCTATACTCAATCATCTCTATAACAAATGGGTGAAAAGAAGTCATAGACACATATTTATGTGTATATACTTATTTATTACAAGCATACATTTTTTTCTGATTCATCTTCTCCGTTTCTTTTCCGAGTTGTGCTGGAACACCAAGGATCTTAACTAGCTCATCCTAGTGACAAAACAGAAATGTTAACTTAATAGCCTCAAAATCTGATGAGATTTCATAGAAGTAATATTCACCTAGAACTGCTGTGAAAACGGGCAGGAAAACATGTTTTTGAATTACTTGAGCTTGTCCTAGGGAATTGTAGCTGCTCCTTTTGAAAATAAACATTGATATTTACGATTTAATTCTGCCTGCAAGATAAAAATTATGCTTGAATATTATTAATACATCTGATTATGTTATCTATACCTTGGAAAGGAAAGCAGCAAAGACCTGGGTATGTTTTTTAATCCTCAGCATAAACCTGTATTAACTTGAATGTGAACATATGTTAGAGCAGCCTACAATAACAAAACATAGCAACATGTCATTATAGAAACCATTTTTAAATCAAAGCCATGACTATTATTATTTCCTAAAGGAGTAATCATGGATATGGCACAGCAGCATGTTTCGTGCCTGTTGAAAGATGATGTAATGCCACCTAATGAATTTGGAATGACAAACAACATCCAGAAGATTCATCATTTCCTTGGACAAAGCATGTACCCATAAACACATACATGCACACACACACACAGATATACATACACACAGTTAATTTTATGTTACTTTTAAATTAGCCTGCTTCTCCAGAAGCTTTTCCATTTCTTTCTTATCTATCAACATCAGCTTTTGCTTGGATGAAACATCTTCTTTTATTGCAGCAATTTATGCTTTCCTTTGGATTACTTCTTTGCAGAGCTCATCACAACTTTCTTTCAACTGTTTAATTTTCTTGTCTGCTTCCTTTAAAAATGAAGTAAAAGATCAGATTAATTTTATTTTCCCTTTTACATTTTGCAGGCTTGTGACATTACAGAATCATTAACATTGAATGATGATAACAATTTTTACAAGTTATGAAATACAATTTTTTAGCAGATGTGTGCTTCATCTGTCAATAACCAGCGGAATTTTATTTCCAACAAACCCACATATATTCATCAGGATTTATGACTGCAAATGTACTTTCCATACTCACATCCTAGAACCAAAAACCTCCAGCTATCTTTACATGCATTTGCTGAATTCTTGAGCAAACTTAAGGAAATCCAGATCTTTGCTGAATCAGTTATTCGTTGCTTGCCCTAGAGTTATCAAACCTGAGTGATATAATATACCCTCTCCCACAAAATCTACCTCTTTATTTTTCTATTTATTCCAGATTTTAAATAAACTCTAGAGCTACACACCATGAAAACATTTTCACTGATGTTTTTATATGTTAGCAGACAGAATATAAAGGATGGCTTTTTTCATGTTTTGTACTTACCCTTTGTTTTGGAATTCTTTCATATTCATTTTCCAGAAGCCTTTTTTCTTCTTGCAAACTACAGGACAGTCAAAACAGAGCTAAATATATTAGTAATATAATAAATATTACTATAATATAGTAAACAGTAAAAAAGTGTGGAAGCCCATTTTGTGTTAGACTGTGTATGGTGAATTCTCACCAGGGACGACTGAAGGGTGTACAGATTTGAAGGAAGGTTGTTGACTCGTAACTGGAAGTCCTGAAAGACTGTCAGTTGTACATATGCAGGCTTTTTCTACAGTACACACACCTAAACTTTTGAACCTGATTCTTCTTGGACTTATCACCTCCTGCAGGGATGCATTTACACCTCATTCACCCTTGTCTTTATACCCAAAAAGTGTCTTTATACCAGCAGAGTACAACAGGTCAGATGGCACCCTACACCCACAGTTTCTCCCAACCTCAGGAAAGAAATTTTTAACATGGGACTGAGGCAAAAGGAAAGAGGAGGTGGGTTATAAATATCCACAAAGACATCACACATCAAAGAAACTGCAGTTGCTAGTAAGAAACTTTCTTCTTTCTTTGAGTGATTGCTCATGCAGACATTCACACTGCAAACAACTGTAAGTGAAACTCCTCAAATCTGGCCAGGGTCCTGTGAAAAAAAAAAACTTGAAAAGTGACAGGGGTTCTAGACTAGAAGTCAGTGGGGTATAGTAGAAAACTAGATTGAATAGCCATGGTGATCTTAACCTATATCCAAAACTATGTTGCAACTTAATTTCAGGCAGCAAGAGACAGATGCTGAAGGAGGGAAGAAGGAGGAAAAAAATAATAGGAAACCTCTTAAATCTTCTGGATGTATTTTTGGTAACGCTGCCCTGAGAAAGATGAAGGATTGAGTACAAAAATGGACCTGAATCAACAAGCTTATTGGACTGACAATAGAGAGCTTCTTGGTGGTGGACAGGTAAATACTGCCAAATATAAAAAGCTAGCCCTAGTGAAGAAATATGTCAATACATCCCCAGTGCATGAACGGAATAAATTCTACACCTGTAGGAGGTAAATGGGCTACAGCAGTTTGCATGCTGTCACCACCAAAGTGAGCTTAATTAAGTCCTTGTGCTATTGATTTGGAACAAGGAGGCAGGTTCTTGCAATGTAGTTGCAAGATGATGACACCTATGATGACATTTTTGTGTCTCTGGCTATAAAGGAGTAAAGATTGCAGCCGGGGAATGGGTGGAACAAGCAAATCCTCTGTCCCGGATATCCCAGCAAAGAACCAACTTCAGCACTTAAATTTCTGTTTGTAACTCCAACTGGAGGATGTACTGGTCGGGCCTCCTTGAGACTCAAGGCAGTCTGTTAGAATAAATAACACTGTAAATAAGGGGCTATTAAGATAAGGGGACAGGCTGTCATGAAATAGCTGTGTCCCCTGGAGCTGTAAACTATGGCAAGTGGGTCCTGGGGCAGCCCCGTGTACCCAAAGCAGCTATTGCAGTTGCCTCTGAACGTGGTTGATACAGAAGAGAGACAGATGATTGGTATTTCTTTTTTTTTTTCTCTGAAACTTTTCAGAGGCAGCCTAAGACTTTGCGTGGTCATGGTCCAAGTTTCAGAAGGTGGTGGTCATAGAGAGAGAGGTCAGTCTCCTAGCAGCCAGGCTCATGGAGGATTGTCCCTAGGATCTTGTGCTCAACTCTTTATCAGTGCCAATTTAAGACTCCCTGCCTGCCCCCAGTAAATTGTTTCATATATTTTGGTCCTCCAACAAAAGGAGCAAAGCTTATACCTGGAAGCCTCAGTTGACATCTTTCCAGTCAAGGAAAGAAAACTGTCAAAAAAGAGAATTGGGTTGGTGGTGTTCCAAACAAAAAAAAAAAAAAAAAAGTGAAGGACAAGCTCTGGCTCAGATGAAGAGGAAAGAGAAAATAAAGGCACAGAGAAGATGTTGTTGATTACAGCATGTATATCTATTTGTATGGCCAGAGTTCAAGTATGCCTCTACAGGGACTGGTAAGTCTAAAAACTAATTTGAATGCCAGTGTGTGAACACCCACAGAGTGAACGAGGTAGCAAAAAATATCTTTTAAAGAAAAAAAGTTGAATTTAGATGAGTCTTCCCCAAGAATTGATAAAATGAATTACTAAAAAAGTTCTATAATTTAAGAAATTGCACAGAAGAGTAAAGAAAGACAAAGGAGTATTTTGCAGGTGTATAGTACAAGTACATGTGGGTAGAAGGAAACACCATAAGGTGATTTATTCTTTGCTGCAGTGGGGCTCAGGAACTACTCCTTTTATTTTACACTGTTTAAAGTCAACGAGGGAGAGCACAGGATCAAACTGCATTAAAAACTGAGCTACTTCGATTCTGCGACAGCAGCTTTGGTCTGCTCCTCTGTACTGTGCCCATAAGCTACAACTAAGTATATTGTGTTGGAATGCCACGTGGGTCAAACACAACATTTGCACCTATCAACAGGTTGTTTAAGTTTACAAATATGTTAATAAGGACAATCCATATTCCCAACACTTTTTGGGAGGATTCCTAGTTGAAATCCTTGGGACTGGCATAATCACACTAATTATAATGTACGTCCACTTGGCGCAAATACCCGTAACTGTTTGACTGCCACAAAAACTGATTAAATAAGTCCTGTGCAAACTGATTAAAGAAGTACTGCATTGCTTGTCATCAGGCTGTGCTGTGCCCACTTTAATATCATGCCAGACAATCAAAAGAGCAATCCCAAAAATCAGGAGGGAGAGCGAAGTTGACACTGTTTTTCTTTTGTCACATTCCTCACTCATGAGGACAGATTCCTGTTGAGCCATTCCGGTTTCACAACAAAAACTTTTCCATCCAGCAAAAGTAAAATGATTTGAACACCTCATTTTGTGTGACAAACAAAGGCAACGCTGAATGGCAAGCATCAAGTTACCTTAAGAGCTGGCAGATCAAATACTTCCTCACAAAAAACAGTGAAGGTGTGAAAAGAAAAAGAGGGTAAAAGAAAGAAGTTGAATCTCTCCATTTTGTGCAATGAGTTTGGTTCAGCTGCCTATATCCCAAAGTTAGCCAGGTACCCCTATGCATCCCCAGGCTTCCTTACTGTCAGGGATAAAACCATGGACCTCCAAAGGGCAGGGCATCTGACACCCCAGGTGCCTATTTTAGGAAGAGATAAATTGCTGGTTGAAGACAACGTATTTCTCTGTTGACTCTAAAGAGAGATCAAGATGATTAACTCAGATTAAGAGATTGAATAAGATTCTTCAAAGATTTTAAATTCAGTCTCTGGTTTAATAGTTAAATGGACACAGAAGCTTAATGTAGGGTAAGCAGAGAAAATCTGGTGTTTCCATTTAGCATTTGAATCTTGTAATCTGTGATACATGGACATCAGCCTCATGAGCGCCTATAGAATACTTAGACATCAATCACTACAACAAACAGTAGCTGCAACTGGCATTAGGCTTTTATAACTCCCATTGTTTTATAGCCCTTCTTTGATGAGTGTATTTTTCAACATCATGTGGTTTTTATCTTTATCATTATTGTACTTACAACAACACACATAATGAAAAGATGAAACTCAGTTTAAGCATCAACGCTTGCAAATGTTTCTCACACTGGTTTGCTTAATTTCGTGAAGCTTAATAGCAGTGCCATACATGAAAAGCTATCATGGGTGCAGATGTAGAGTTAAAAAAAAAAAAAGCACACAGAAAATTGGACCATTAATGAAAATACATTCCAGACTTTTCCCTGAGAGATGTCTACAGCTGCAAACTGACACAGAAATAAAAAAATTAAGTCAGCGAGATTAAGAAATGGAGTGGTAGTTGTCAACAGAGTCATTTCAGTTCCTCAGCTCACAAAATATCCAGAATGTTATCCTTGTGAATCCCATCACGCAAGAAACCAAACTCCTTCAGCCACTCTGACACATAGCTGGAATTGCTGAGGAATCCACAGGAGGTGCTCAGCACCCCACAACTAAAATCTAGTGGCCACAGGTAGAAGGTATCACAGCCGACAAGTTACCAGCATGAAGTTCCTGTAAGGTTCTTAGCTGTAACTAGTTTGTATGTACCAGAGAATGCAGTCACAAGACTAGTTGATAACAACTTCAACTCTAACTCGATTTATTTTACTTATGGCTTGTAATTCTTTACTAGAAAAACTATGGACAGAAGCTTAACTTTTCACTTTTTAATTATTGAGTGACTAATCCTGAAATAATTACAAGCATTGAAATAATTTTCCATATTCGCAATGCTTCTGCAAGGACAAACTTAGTTTTGCAATCCTGACTTGCATGCAATGGCACATAGTACTCCAGTGAATAACCATTTTGTTACCTGCACAAACGACTGTGAGGGCTGTAGATTTGACCTAGCTTTAAAATAAAATTGTTTTCAAGAATCAGGCACCTTTAACCTCACAAACTCTTGTTATAGATAATTTAATTACAAATCAATTGCTTACTTTTAAATACATGGTTTAGATTATAAATTCATTTAGATTATATATTTATTATTTCTCAATCATAAACTATTGTTGATATTATTGCCTGACAACGAAAAGCAGTGCTTTATTTTGTCTCACAAACCAGGACTCTAAGCCTCACATGGACATTAAAATGAAAAGTTTCTTCAAGCTAGAAAAAATCTTTGCTCATCACATTGATCCTTTCCTTGTTCTTGTGCTCATCTGATTTTTTTGATCTATATTCTTATTTACTGAGGCTTGTTCGGTCCCAGTTATATGAAGAAACCTCATGGCTCTGAATGCAATTGTACCAGAACTGAATTGGGATCACTATTTTTCGTTTTACTTTATTACACTTGCCTAATAGTTTTTGAGAGGAAGAATACTCCTGGAGTCAGCTCTGGTAGTGGCCCAAACTTTATAATCTCAGTAGAATCCTTCAACTGTTGCTCCCCTCCTGTGCTGAGCACTCAGGCAGACACACTAGCAACGAACCCACCACAATCGCACAGCAGAACAGGAACACAAACTGGAAGAGGAGGCACACTCCTACAGTGGGAGCACACCACATCCATGCGGTCACACTCAGCGTGAGTTCCCCAACAGCTGAAGTGCATCGGAGCTGCTTCGGAATACCTCATGTGTCTATCCAAGCTATGAAAAAAGTCACAAATTTCTGAAAACCTGCTGATACTACAGTGCCAAAAGCAATTTAAATTTACTCTGGGAATGCTGACTGCTCATTGGAACAATAAAGATTTAAAATAGAAGATGAAACATCTCCTTCAGCTGTTGAAAAAGGTATCTGATCTGGAAAAAATTGTTTAGAGAGGTAAGCAAATGGGAAATGAAATATGGAAGAGAACAGAATATTAAGAGATCTTGAGGCAAAAAATAACTTTGCTAATATTGTGGTATATCCATGTGACTCTTCAAGAGAAAAAGTTTACTGTTGTCAGATTTGAATGTGACAGTATGACTGACCCAACTACATGTAGCCAAAAGGGTGCTAAATGTCCTTAGCTATCAGAGAAAGTGAACTGAGGCAGGAAGCAAAGGCAGCAGAGAGTAGAGAGATGCTTCAGAGAAGGAAAGGCTTACAGAAACAGGGAAGCAGAAGATCTGCAGAGGCTCTCTCTCTCTTCCAGCTCAACAGTATTTCTGAGCAGACAAGATCCAAGACTTCTAAGAAAAGCATAAAGCAATAGATAAGAGACGCAGATATTCCCTTCAAAAGCTTTTCTCCTCCATGTTCCCCTCCTGCTATACATAACAAGATAAATAAGTAATATATTTGTTTTCAGACTAAACAGCCATTAGTCATAATTCCCAAAGAGAAGTTTACTTCTAAGTGCCAAGCACAGCTGGGACTGTGTTAACACAGTTGGACAACATAGGAGAGAAACTGTGCTCCAGAGAAATCAAGGGCCAAGAGAGGCTGGACCATGAGTTTCTGTCCTTCTGAGAAATGAAGGAAACCAAGCAGTCACCTGACAGCAAACTTACAATATTTTGATGCAGCTTCCCCTCATGACACCACCCATGCATACAGATATTTCAGAAGACATTGCTTTGTTATTTGTATAACTCCATCAGGCATATAGATCTTCATTTTACATCGGTGTTACTATTAGGTCACCTGCTACTCCCAACTCTATTCTGGACATTGGTTTTCACTGTCTTTCACAGGCATCACACCCGTCCCTTCTTCACAAACATGTATTCATGTCCATTATCTGTTTTTCTTCATAGCTCATTTCTCATTTCCCCACCACATTCACTCATGCATTCCCCGCACAGATATATGCCAGTCCTGTTCATTCTACACCATGCCAACATTAAAACCCCTGTCCTTTCTGGAAAGCAGTATCTTCTCTCATGATAACCAAATCCACACATAACCAAGGCACATCCTCCTCACTCCACACCCACAACACACATAAGACCCAATGTTACCAGCAGGCATGAAACAGATTCCAAACAAGGAAAAATTAAGTAATCTGTAGCTCTTCAGTTTAGAAAACTGACAAATTAAGGGAGGGGGCAGGAGATCTACCAAACCGTCCTGCAGCAGTGAAAATGAAGAGAGGATCAGATGTTCACTGTCTCATCCAATACAAGAACTACATGGCATGAAATGAAACTGCTAGGAGTCAGGTTCAAACTAGAAAGGAGGTGGTAGTTCTTGTGTAGTTAATCTGTGGAACTTGTTGCCTAGGATGTTGCAACGCCAGAAGTTTATACAGTTGAGGAGGAGACAGGAGAAGGTCAAGGGGGAGGGGTCAGCTGAGGATTCCTAATTACAGAGGACTGTATTTGGCTCATGAAATCCCTGCATCACAAATAGCTGGGGGTTGCACTTTTAGTTGCCGTTAGATACTGCGCCATACAGACCTCTGGTCAGACTGTACAGCTGGTTTTGATCTCATGCAATACATAAGACCAAACAGAGGAAGTTTCTTATTAAAGTGAAAGAATATTTTTCACAGTATGACTGACCGAAAAGGTATATTTTTAATCTGTAATATAGGTTATTCAACTCATATATAAAAATTAATGCAGTAAATGTGCAAGGGTAATTGAAACAATACCTGCATTTTGCATAGGACAGAAACCTCCTTTTGACTAGAGGTGGAAAACAGAGTATGAGTAAATATCCCCTGAACATATAAAACCCCATTATTTTTTGGAAAAGTGATGCAAAATCAGTGAAAAATGTTCATAAGATATGAGGAAAAATGGGTAAAAAGCATGATATTTTGAAGAGCTCATTTCTGGACTGCTTAGAAATTGCAATAAATTCTGTATTTAATACTTGTTTCAGGAAACTTCATGTTGCTTAGTTATCTCATAGCAAATAATTTTTTCCAGATGCTTTCTATGTTTCTTTACTTCTCCCACTCCCGATTTGCTTCTTTCTCAAGTTTCTTTCTCTCTTAGAGCAAACACTTGGCTCTAAAAAAAAATTTCAAGAAAGAACTGCCAGAAAAATCTGCTCTGTGCAGTTTGTACAGTGCCCCTGCTCTCCTCGTAGAAAAATAGTTTTAACTGCTGAGCTGCTGACGGATTTTTTTTGTATTTATATGCACCACCTACACTACAGCTTGATTGAAGAAGGGTAAAAAAAATCCACAAAACGAAAATATTAATTCATCTCCATAGGTACGTATTTTAAAAAATGCAATAGTACTGTTTATAAGTTTACTACAAAAGCTTCAAGTGCAACACACTCATATATGCAAATAATTAAAGTATATACAATATCAAGCTTACCCTGTACTTTTTTCCTTTTATAGAAATGTCAAGTAGTCACTTCTTTCACAGCAAATTTCTCATTTTTTCCGACAAGAGTATATACAGTATTTCTCCTCCTTTAAATACTTGAATAGAAAAATGAATACACTGTGCTTATGATGTTAAAAATAGCATTAGGTCTACTTACGATGTTGTTTCCATAAAATCCCACTCAGCAGGGCTCGGAGACACTTCAATCATTTGTATTAAAGGTGTCCTCGACTAGAACTGTTCCTGTTAATTTTGCCTATCTAAACATTAACCATGCAATGTAGTAAATTTAAAACAGCATTTCAAAGGACACCGTAGCATGTTCTAAAATTAAAATTATCTACAAATCTCACACCAGGGTAATTTTATTCATCACTGAAATGTTGCTGTTACTAGGGAAAGTTTGTGGCAATTTTTTTAACAATTGTATTCTATGTTATTATCTTTCTAGAAAAGCTATGATAAAATTGTAAGCGTTTGACCACTATCACCTACCATTCCATCTTGAACTGGATTTCATACTCTCTTTCTTTAATAGCATTGTATTCATTTTGGCAACTAAGAAGTTGTTGCCTTATTCGGGAAACTTCACTGGAGGATTCTTCAGGGAACTGTTCTGCTTTTTCCAGTTCATATTGTTGCTGTTCCAGTTCTACACTAAGACGTTTGGCTTCCTGCAACAGCTGGATCTCAGATTCCTGTAAACTACATGAAACAGAAAAATTTAGAACTAAGCAATGCGAAGTATAAGCTTTGTATTTACACTTCTTTACCTACCTATAATATTTAATTCAAGGTTTTCAAGATGAGATGGGATTAAGTCCTGAATAATCTGGACTGACCTCCTAGTTGACCCTGCCTTGAACAGGAGGTTTGACCAGAGACCTCCTGAGGTCTGTCTGAACCTGGATTATCCTATGATGCCATGAGAGCAGTGGAATCTGATGTGAGGGGCTTTTTCTACGTACTTAGAGTTGGAGTGGGATTCATCTCACCTAATTTTAACCAGATTAGTTAGTCTAATTTATATGTCTATTACCTCCTACAACCAGTGAAGAGACAGGGAATCTGTTTTATCCTAAGAAGTCTATAGGCTGTATCTGAATCAGCGTGGGGACCCATAACAGGGACGTATTCACCAGGACAAGGCATAGTCTGGGCCATGTGACACCTTTAAGTCCTTAGTAAACTCCGGGACACATACCCAGTGCTGAATCACTATTGCTGTGGTGTTACCAGTATCTGAAGTAACTCATTTAATGATACACAAGCTGCAAAGGCACTTGTGGGCTTCTGTGGAAGTTTGTTATAAGGCTTGTAGACACGATCCGTTACCTGACCTGACTTGTATCACCGAAGGCTAGCTTCACAGAAACAACAAACTGTAACATTCTGTCAACGGCAGCAGACTGGTATTCATGATACGCTTCGAAACCTATGTGGTGATAGCTGAATAACAGATCTTAAAGGCTGTCAGTAAAATACATTGATTATTACGGAAAAGTCTTAAAGGGAACTACAGTATGAAAATTCATATACAATGCACAACATATAAACCTATTACTTACGCTATAGAAATCATTGTGTGTACCTTATACTACATTGTAACTTTTGTGTAATGGTATACTAAAATTAGTCACACATGATGTGGAAGAATAAAGAACTCTATCACTTGCCTTTTATTAATTAAAAATATAATGCAATTTAATATTTTTTAAAGCAAAGGAATTCAGAGTCTCCTATATTGAGGAACTCTACACATAGATTTTAGCTCAAAGATGACATTTATGGCTCAGCAACAAAACCAAAATTGCGTATCACACTGAAGAATAGAGTTGAGATGGTAACTACAAAAATATAAAATATACAACTGACTGTACTGCACAAACATAGCTGAAATAATACGGCAGAAAAAGTTTTGTTTCTACTTAGATAACCACTTCCTTTTTTAAACCAGAAAATAAGAAAACCACAGACTTCAACAGGAAACAAGAGTGTGCCTTTTATCACGAACAAAAAGTTTCATGTGTGATGTATTTACATAGTAACTTTTTAAGGGAAAAATAAATTGTCTGATTGACACAAGATCCTATGCAATATTTAGAGCTTTTTTATGTCCAACAGAATTAATGCTGTTTTAGGATAAAATATAATTGGTTGCAGTAATACACATTCATTTCAAACATAATTCTTACATAAAAAATAAATATTACCTAAAATTACATAAACACATAAGTTCTTCCATAAAAACAGAATTCTTAATACTGATTATTTCAAGATAATAAAAAAAAAAAATAGAAACAAGAATTGAGCGTTGAATCTAGACCGGATCTCACTTACTACAGTTGCCAACAGTATTTTTTCATGTGAAGATTTAAACTTAATTGAAGACAATGAAGAAATAGCTGGATGTCTACACAGTGTACACATCTAGAAACATAGGAGTGCAAAAGCAGGCTTGCCAAGTCTGATGTGGCAACTTTTGAGTTAATAATTTAACAGAGGCTTAAGAAGACAAGATTCCTGAACTGTCAATGAACTATCATTATTATCCGACTTTCTTACAGGTTGGTGTATCAGCATATTCATGTTAGGTTCCTAAATTGAGATAATAAAAATTTACAGCTGGGATTGTGTGACTAAATGGGTTTTCAGGTGCCAAATATGAGCTGAGGTACATCAGTTTTAGGTGCAGCCTCACTGCAAAGTGGATGGATGAGATGGCACCAGAACGGGGTGACAGCCTGTTCCCAGAATTTCAGCTGTGCAGCAAACAAATTCAAAAGCACATAACATTTTGAAGAAATGCATCAAAGATGTGATCTGCCAGGTGACATCTTTCAGCTTTTCAGAATGCCAAATTGTGCAAAACTGAAACCAAGAAATAAAGGACTATTTACCACTAAACAAAGGACCACACTATACACTTACAACTCTGTGTACTCTAGCAACAGCCTTGGAAATTATCTGCATACCAACTAGTTGCATTCATCATATTAGACAAATTTGTATTGTTTATTGCAACCATTTGGCATAGCTGTCACAGGGATCTATGCTGCTTAAGATGCATTAAGACTTTCTCCTTGAGGTTTTTGCATGCGACTAAAGGGAAGACGAACACACACAGCTTGAAGACCTCATCCAGTGTCACTTGCTTCCACACAGCATTGTAACAGCACTGGGACAGATGCGGAATAATCAGGAAAAAAGATTAAATTCAACTGTAATAAGTAAAAAATAATTAAAAAGCGGTATTGATTCCATGAATGGTTCATTGCAGGAAAAGAGTATAACACATACTGAACCCGTCATCAGGACTCTCTTTGTAGCCAATGGAGAAAACAGACACAGATGTCCATATAAGGAGGAAGTGTGTGGTCCCTACTTCTTTCTATTGACTCATAAGGGACTCTAAATACCTAGTTCAGATGTGCATGTCTACTGATGTTAACATCTGGATAACTGCATCCTACTTTTGATGTCTGAAGAGTCCTTATAATATACTGGAGATTATGATAGATTTTTGTAATTGGTTTCCCTTGCTTTCTTTTAGCAGTAAGGGAAATTTATCCGTGTGAATTAGTACTCATTCACGTGTTGGTGTTTTGCTTTGACACGTGACTACGTGTAACTAAAGAATGTGACATGATTCTCTCCAACCAACATTCTTACAGAAGTATGGCAATTTCATACTCCTACCAGAACTACGGAAAGAATGAGAGATGTAATCTACCATCTGACACGTTCACGCTTTTGGTGCATGGTGTTTGCGGTAGTTTTACGTGTGACAAAAGACAGCTGAGTCCTGGTTTTGCTTTAGGCCATATTCCACTTATTATACATACAAAGGAACTGTCTTTACATAAAAGAATGTTCTATATAAAAGAATGCTATATAAATATATAAAATAAAATATGTAGTAATATGCTTGTAATTTTTCCAACCAAAGACTGGTTTCAAACTCACACTGGCTAAAAGTCAATCGAGTTCAGCAGCTACTGGTTTTCTACTTCAGCTCAGTGAACACTGGTGTGGTAGAAACTGTCTGAATCAACTAATCCAAAACCCACATAATGTGTTGAGTTCTGAGCATTAAGAAAATGCTTCTTCCATTTTCTAGGGAGTTGAACTGGTTTAAGAGTGCTGTTTTTAATTTTGCTTTGTAAAAATATTTGCTACTCAGTAATCTGAATAAAGTCAGATGATGTTTCACAGAGCCAGGGCCATACCCTAATACCCCATTTTATCAAGATGAAACTAGAAGACTCAGCTAACCTCAAGAAAAACTGCACTTTCAGGATTTTGGGAACTTCTTTTCAAATTACTTTACATTACTTAGAACTCGTCACTATTCAGATTGCCAGGAGGCACACAAAATCCCAACATAACCCAAGTAAGCACTTATGACTTGAATTAGTTTTACAGTCCTTAAACTAGGCCTTAGCTTCAGTGACAGAATAGCCATAGTTTTCTTATAAGCAGAGTTGCCATAAAGGTTTTCATGTGGACTGTCAGGGAAATTGGGCTAAAATGTTATTAGTATGGTGGATATTATAGTACATAGTACAGAAATATAACTGGAATAGCGTGATGCTGATTTTACTGATAATTGTGGGTATACCATAAGTAACACCAAAATTATTAGCCACAAATGCTAATGTACTATTGCAATATTTGCCATAGGACTTCTCTGTTCTGTGACTCACTGTTCACCTAGTACAACTGTAGTATTGCATCCCACTTTGTCCTTCCCTCTATCCTTCCACTCACACATGCCCTGCTCAAGCCTGGAATCGGGCTCTGAACACGATATCTTCTCTTCTCTCTCCTCCAGCAAGTACCAGAGCAGGGCAGACTCACAACTACTACACCTGATTTCTGAGTTTCATTTATACTTTGAAGCTTAAGGTTCTAATCTTTAAATTTATTAGCAGTGCTATCTAATAGGACTGTCGATATCCTCAGAGGGTAAAATTCACACCTATTTAGATGTGACAGAGTCTCATTTTCCTTCTTAGAATCAAGCCTTTAACTTCTTCAGTTGCTCTCTATGACTTTAGCTCAGCAGGTCAGAGTCTCTTCATATGTTATAATTCTGGGTACATGACCTTCAAATACATATTTCTTTTAAACTTGTCTGTTGCAGTTTGTGCTTCCCTTCATTGCCATTATTATTATGTCTGCATTAAAAACAAACACGTTCGAACAAGTATTTAAATGTCCCAAATTACATTGAAAGTTCCTATTAAATAACATTGTTTTTCAACCTTGTGTTCTTGCTTCCTGTTTATGAACAATCAACTGTAAGAAAGCCTTAAATGATCATTAGGCCTCAGCAAGAGCAGCAAATTACTTTAAATATGTAATGCTTTGACTACTTAAACAAAGTCTAAAACAGGAGTATTATACCTTATCACAGTCTTATGCAGCAGGGTGTACTTTCCCTTCAGCTCAGCTACTCTGGTGCCTGTGATTTTTCCAGCAGAAAATAGCTATGGAAGGGAAACAGACAGTTATGAAACCTCCTAAGCAGTATTTTCATTCTGTTGCAACTTTTTGTAACTATAATTGGCAGCCTTTTAGTTTGTGCAGTCTTTGGTAACATACCACATCAAATATCCAGATGAAAAAATGTTTATTTACATAATAACTCAAAGCATAAATATAAGAATATAAAGAATGTGTCTGTCAAAACTACAGTGCTACAGCCACCATTTCTTCTCTGATTGTCCATCTGTATTACATTTCATGACAATTCTGTCTTGACTTAGAACTCAAGCTCCAAGTCACTCGTTTTCCACATTGCTTAACTGGTTCAGTTTCGGTATATACCAGCTGGCCTGCACAGGTGAAACTGATGCTTAGTGTCTCCAGAGGCAAAATGGTTGTCAAAACCAATGAGCTGGGCTCAAGCCAGATCATCCCCAGGTCACAGAACACATTGATACTCTTAGTCACATGGTTTAGTTTTAGGTAGTCCTGCAAGGAGCAGGGAGTTGGACTTGATGATCCTTATGGGTCCCTTCCACCTTGATATATTCTATGCCTTCAGCAAACACCAAGATCAATCCACTCCACATATTTAGTACTGCAAAACCTGTATGTATGTGATGCAGCATACCCATCTCTTAAGTGATTCCTCAGATGTCTTGAGGGCAGTAATTTAGGCCAATGAGCCAGTCCTTCTTAATATAAATAGGAAATAAGAGTAGGAGCCAAATTTTGCCACTGGGAAATATCAAAGCAGCAATACAATAGTTATCTCCTGGGATATTTCTCTAGAAAACCTTGTCTCCCCCTTCCTTTGGTTACAGGTAAGGAGAACTATGTTAAATCTAGATTAAAAAAATGTAAGGTGATCTGGCCCTGTAAAATTCCATAGCTAGCCTTTTGGGGCAGCAAGTCAAATCTGCAACTTCTGTGGGAACCTGTCAAGAAATGTGGTTGTGCAGATCTCCTGAAAAAAAGAAAGGAAGTTACTATAGCACCAGGAAAATTCCAGAAGCCATACTTCAACACTTATGTTTGACAAGGCCTCCAGGGAAAGGCATTTTACTAAGCTGAACTAAGGGCCATTTAAGAGATTTGCATGTGGGCTATTCTGTAGATGTCCCTTTCTTGAATATCCAAGGCATCCAGAACCAGTCCTATGGTCAAGAAGCAGAACCCAAGTTAATATGCCAAAGGAAGTATACATTTTGTTGATAGCTGTTTGATTTATGTATTTTTTTAAGATCTACTGCAAAATATTTCATGGTAGCAGACAATCTTTGCTGCCTGAGGCCCTGAGAAAAGGAAAGGAGGTCTGTCTTTCATTTGTTGCCATAAGATTAAAGATAAGCAGCTCTCAAATATTTATTTTGGCATCCTCTATGATCCAAAGATACTGTTCACTTAAGTTCACAATACTAACTAGCCCTTCTGTGAGAAACAAAACATTTCCTTATCTCAGCCTATTTATTTCTTAGCTTCATATTTAGGTAGAGTTGTCCTATTTGGGTGATACCTCACTAATGCGCTTTCTCCATGCTCCTCTGACCTATACCTGCGAGTACCAGTTTTTCTTACTGCTTAGCTTCTCACTGCAGACCTATGCCATGTTTGACAATGTTTTTGCAGAGATAAACTTGTCCTTGAGGCTATGTCTTCTCCTTTATATCCATAAGCTTTTTACACCTTCTACACTTAATTTCTTCATTCAGTTCAGAGCTAAGATCTTTATTCCAATAAGGCTGGTCCTATACAATGTGAAGAGACATAGCTCTGAGGACCACATAACAGACTGTATGGATAGCATACCAGCATGTCAAAGGGAGTGAGACTACTGTGAAAAGTATCATCGCCAGATAGTTCCCATTACCCAACTTTATTTGGAGAGCCATCAGAGAGCCAGCGTTGGGCTACCCTGACCCTAGATTTATTATTGAAGCCCAGCACAGTGTTTTCTCCAAGATTCTTAGGAAGGCAGAAGGGAAAGGGACAACAACGTGAGAGGAAGAAATAGTCAGTTGTGGAAGAAGGGAGGAAAAGCATGAGCCTACCGTAGAAAAATTGTATTATTTGTGGTGATAAAACCAGAAGAGGGATGATGCCCAATATACAGATAGATACTGCCTTCAAGGCTGCCTTTCCCACCTACGTGATAGTGGGTGATGTGTAAATGAAGTGAACCTCAGAAGCTATGTTAGCTGAATCAATGGATGCTCCCAGAAATTCACTGAATGCCTAGAACAGGGCTAGCAACTGTTTTCCTTACACATTTCTATCATGCTGATAAGACAGTAAGTTTCCTGTCCCTGAATACATCACCTGTTGATAATAAAACTTAAGAGATAGGACTGGAATGACAGTAAGTATCCACTTGGACCTGGAACTATGGTTGTCCACAGTCAGCAGAAAATCAGTAACAGCCTTTTGCAAAACATACTGAAAATAGGTAGAGGTCACCTTCTTTTAGAGCCACTACTCAGTGGACAGTGTAAAGGATAGAGTCGGTCTTTCTTGCCATCAGGTGGGCTGAGAAGTAAACAGTTTTCCAGCTGGGATGACTTTGTTTTCAACTAATATCTAGAATGGAACTAGACCCAAGAAATTGATTGTCCTTCCATCTTCTGAAAAGGCTGCTCACAGTCCTGAAGCAAACTGCCTCTTGTGTGCCATGGACATCCTCCAGCTCTATGGCAAATTACAGTAACTATTATAACAACTTTTCCTGTGCACTTTCAACTTATAATATTGTATACTTTATTTCATTGCACAGAAACAAGAACATTTGGCCTTCTTGGGTTGTAATCACAGACCTTGCCTATCCCCTGTCCATGGAGATACACTTCTGCCTCTGACGTTCCATTCCAGATCACCTCCTCACATATCTTTCACAGATTTTTGTTTACATGAACAAATATCTTATGGTGAAGAACAATATTAGCTACTAAGTTGCCCTTTAGCAATCAAAATGTCATTTGGAAATCTTTAATCTAAGGGCAACAACTGGATTATCTTGATTTTGTAAAAATGTTTGTGCCTATTATATCCACCAGTTGCTAAATAAAATTTATACTATGTTCATAATATCCATTATAAAAGGCATGTACAGTAGTTATCACAACCGCATTTTAAAATGCAGCACAAGTTAAAAAAAAAAACAAACTACTTGAAATGGATTAAGTGAATACTCACTTCTCTCATGTTTTTCAATTTATCCAGAATAAATTTGATTTTGCAGGCAGATTACAAATATTCATGGCAGAAGGTTGTATGGAAGGAGATGTCTTGTACAAGGTACCTAACACCTCGGACTTTCAGAAGATAAATGCTTGCCAGAGAGCATTAAAGTCTCGTATAAAGGTCAGTATTAAAATCCCCAGATTCCTGTGAAATCTAGTGCCAAGGGTCTTGCAAAGATTACTCAAAAAACCCCATAAATCTCAAAATGGTCTATCTTGCACATGTGACACAAGATTACGCTGATTAATTCGATTAATTCCTAATAATAGCAACATGGAAATTCAATGTAAAAAATAGAAAATACTCCTAACATTTTTATTATTTGTAAAAATGCTTGAGTTTAAACAATATATGTTTGAATAAACTCTGGGTTAATTCAAAAAACATAATTAATATTTTGACAGCAGTGACTGTAATGAGTATGAGACCTTCCAGATTTCAACCTTAGGGAAGTAAGCTTGCAAGTTAGTTCAAAAAAAGTCAAGAACACACAAATAAAACAAGTAATGATAAGAAAGCCAACAGTATTTATATATATATATGCACCTCCCCACAAACTTAACATTTCTAAATGAAGGTTTATGATTAATTTCTTCTGGTCTGTTTGATCTGTATTAGCCATGTTTCTACGAAAAAAAAGAGCTGTTTACAAGACTAATATCCCAAGTCTGAAAAAAGAAGTTATATTTCACACCTACCCCTTCCCCCCAAGATGCCCTCATAGTTCATTTTATTGCTTGGAAGCTCTCACATTGCTGGGATAAGTAAAATGGTAGTTCTCCTTAGTTCAACTAATTATGTTGCTACACTGAAAAGGAAAAGAACGAATGAAAAGGTGGAGTAGTGAGGTGAAAAAACAGTTTGTGAATGGCAACAGAGAATGTCTTTTTTCAGTTCTGTGTTAACCATAATGCCCTGGGAAGAACTGACAACATTTTGTTATACTGGTGATCTCAACTCTGGAGTTTGGAACATGATCGGGTAAATATTCTTAAACTGTTGAGCCTTTCAGTCCCTTTCCACATCAGTTGTACTCAACTGTATTTTGCTTTTTTCAAGCATTTCTTTCTTGTTATACAATGACCTTGGACCCCATACATTTATAAACACACTCAAAATTGATCGGTCATCTGGATAAAATAAAATAAATTTTCCTTATCTAAAGAGAGAATTATTGGAAAGCTGGATGAAGATTTGGCTGTTAACAAATAGTTGCCTGGCAGCTTTCTGCTTTCCTTTCCTTATACTCCCATAAATGTAATTACATTAAGAGTATGGAAATATGTATCTTATTGCTGGATCTACTTGTATCTTTTCCTTTTAGTTTAAATTTTCTGTTATGATTATTTTATTCAATTAAGTTACCCTTTCTTTTACTTTACACTCATCTTTGACTGATGAACATGAGTGTAATTTTCTAACTGTTACGTTTTTTCATGTTGCCTCATTATTTGAAGCTTGGGTTTTCTACCAGAAAAACAAAACAATTAAAAAACCCAAATGACAAACCCAAATCCAAGTTTCAAAACAAATTTTTTCCTTCATTCAGTGAAAATCCCATGTAATGAAGTACTGGATAATCCTGCCTTATGATAAAGACTGTGGAGGAAGATTTTGCAGAAAAGGGGAAAGGAAAGGGCATATCCTTCATATTTCTCTAGCAGGAAAAGGTGGATTTTCTGGCTCTTGGAGGAACCTTTCAAATACAGGAATCCATGAGAAAAACAGAAAATATTTATGCTCAAATAGCTGTTCTGTACGCCCA